GCCACTTCTGGCTTTCTTTTGCTTATGTGGTGCTGAGGAATCGAACCCAGGGCCTCATGCATGCAAGGCAAGTGCTCTACCACTGAGCCACCTTCCCAGCCCCTCACTGGTATATTTTATTACAAAACTAATGCATATTCACTATAATGCTAGACAATGACAAAATATCTGAAATCACCTGAAACTCACCACTCTGAAATTTATTTTATGTATACTTGATGTGTGTACTTGTACTCACATATATATATACGTACATATATGCTCACACACATGTACACACACATATATGTATATATACATGTATATATCCATATACATCACATACACATACTCAAATGATACATACATAGTTGATATATAATATATACATACATATGCACATATGTCTGTATCTGTCTGTCTATCTATTTGTCTGTCTGTCCTCACAGATCTTTTTAAGTTAGTAAAGCAGAATTGCTCTAAATAGATCCTGGGATAACCTAACATTTCATAATGGCAAGGCAGATATACACAGATCATAGTAGGATAGCTGTTGAAGGTTTGAATGGGAAAATTTTATTTAATAGAGAGAGACTCAGCTATAATAGCATTGATGTGTAGGGGAATCTGAATTGGAGTAGTTAAGGATTGGCAGCTCTTGGCTAAAAGGCTAAGAATAGCAGGGCTGTGTTTCTCCTGTTGTCCTTAGTTTGAAGGTTATTTCAGTAGAGGTGTATGGAAACCAACAGTGTTGATGTCTAATTTTATCCAGAACCAGGAGTGAGCTGTAGGCTGTGGAGATAAGCTTCTTGACCTCTCTCTCTTGAGTATCCTTCTTCCTGGCATAATTGAAAAAGCAGCAGATTAGAAGTTTAGTTTTTGATATATACACCAGCTGATTTTCAGGCCAACTTCTTGGGTCTCAGGAATTTAACTTGTATTTGCTTCCTCTTTTGTTTGTTCTTAAAACTGACAGATTAATGTAAAATGAAGTTCTTCAAAAACTTCTTAAAAGTTGTACAAACTCAGCATACTAACACTGATAGTAGAAATAACAATTTTGTTTCAGATGCAGAGCTCTTGATGTGATGCTGGGAATATCTCGTAAATAAACTCTAGATATAAGAAATTTTGAAGTATAGGCCTTTTGAGGAACATTATGACTTGTGCTTGGGGTATTGCCTTTGAAATCTAAAAGTCACTTCATGCATAAATAGACTTTATTCTTTCAAGTATTAAAGTGAAATGTGATTATATTTTCTTTGTAAAAGTACTTTTATTCTTGAACGCTTACTGGAAATTTTTGTGTTTGAGCATGTGGTAACTAATTTGTGCTTTACTATATTTTGGGGAGAGTTCTTTTTTTTTTTTTTTTTTGGGTCCGGTTGTGGGGCCTGAACTCTGGGCCTGGGCGCTGTCCCTCAGCTCTTCAGCTCAAGGCTAGCACTCTACCACTTGAGCCACAGCACCACTTCCGGCTTTTTCTTTTTTTGCTCATGTGGTGCTGAGGAATCGAACCCAGGCCCTCAGGCATGCAAGGCAAGCGCTCTACCACTGAGCCACCTTCCCAGCCCCTATTTTGGGGAAAGTTCTATATATAGATCTTGATAGGTAGATTATGTAGATAGGTAGAGTGGCTATTGATTTTTAGTATGTTCTTGCCATGTGGTATTTAACTTTGTTTTAGTTTTCCATTTTCTTTGGTAATATTGTCTTAAATGGTATTCTAACAGCCTGTGTTAACCTATGTTACCATACTGTTATCTGTAGATTTAAAGGATTTGGCCATGGCTCCTTTGATCCTGACTCATTCTCATAGGTTCTCTCTGGATGCATGGAATGGGCAAACAAGATATATGTAGGTAATGATCCTCATTCTTGATCATGAGTCAGTCAGAAGATCGCAGAACATTTAGTGGCTGCCTTTGCTTCTCCTAGAGATTTCTCCAACTCCATGATCATAGTTCTTGCTCAGTGTAGGCCTATGGGTCTATTTATTTAATTCTGCTCTCTGAATTTGGATATAGAAGGTTAAAAGGGTTGATAGTCCCTAGCCCACTCTCTCCTTTTTTCCTAACTATTCCTATCTGGGCCATATAGAGTATAAGAAATAGAAAAGCTTACTTTGATTTCAGGACTCTGGTTACCCAGAGAGTATTTTGGTAAATGAATTGCTTAGTGGTCAGTGTTAACTGTATGCGCTCTTATTTCACTTTTAACGGTGTTGCTGGTAAGGTTGTCACTGTATTACTTTATTACTTTCTATACTACAACTTCTGCCTTCATGGATGACTTAGTTCAATACTGTTAAGGTGGAATGTTTTAAATTCATATTTGTTTGTAGTAAATGAAGTTGATATATATATATATATATATATAATTTGGCATTTATAATGAAGGAGGTATTTGTTAATAGTTTTTCACCTATAAAACAATTAGATAAAAGACTAATTATATATTTTATGCTCTTCCTCTTGTTTACTATAAAAGCAAAAAATCAGGAAGGCAAAAGTATATACTAGACTCTCAAATGCTGCCTTTTCCCTATAAAAAACTTGATTCTCTACCCATGATCTGTGCCCCTAAAATATTAGAGTAATTGGTTATTCTTTAGGTCTCAGATGTCATTTCCCGAGGGCAATTTGTGACACCTAGACTACTAGGTAGAGCTGTTTCTTATTCTTACTGCTTCCTGAGGGCTTCTGTATTGTTACTGCTATTATTTATTAATTAAAAAAATCTCACTATTTCATTGCCTGACATACATTGGCTCTTTTATAAAAAAAAAATTAAAGTTAATGGATTAACTAGAAGAAAACATTCTGTTTTACTGTTTTTCTGGATTTGTTGCATATATGGTTATTTGTTTTTTCTTTTATACTGGAGTTTTAAAATTGTAGATTGAGTTTTAAAGTTACCTTGAAAAGGAAGTGGCGCTGTAGCTCAAGTGGTAGAGCGCTCACCTTGAGTTGAAGAGCTGAGGGACAACGCCCAGGCCCAGAGTTCAAGCCCCACGACCGACAAAAAAAAAACAAAACAAAACTATATAAAGTTACCTTGAAAAGTAAAAATTACCCTTCAATCTTCAAGATAAAATACAGTTTGATCTCTCAGTAAGTTGTACAGGCAGTTTTCCTCTCCATCATCAGTGATAACATTTTACTTGCAGACTGGTTACTTAACCTTTATAGAGGCATCCAACCTTTTCCAAAAAAGGCTCCAATGTACTTTTGAAATAATTTTCCCTGTTGTCCATCTTTGTATTCTGGCTTTGGAACACTTTGCTTTTTCCATCTTCTTTTCACATTATCTTTTAGATATGTACCTGAAACCCATCTTCTTTGTCATACATTGTTTTCTCTGACTATTCCTGAGTAGTCTCTTTTTTCGCTGCTGTCTTTTGGCACCAACTTAACATTGTTTGTTCTCCCGAAGCTCTTACTTAGGTGTTTGTCCTTCCTAGTCAACTTGAGTTATAGATCACTGAAGATGGGAATTTTCATCTTTTGGTTATGGCTTTAAATTCACTAGGAACTATAATGAATGAAGAAAATTTGGTAGAGTATGGTCACATCTGTAGTTTTCTGTTGCCATGGAAGATTAACAACTGGTGGTATTCCTAACTAGATGAACTAGATTCCATGTTATGTACTCATTATGCTGTTAAAAATGCAAACTGACTGCATATTGCATTGATGTGTTGCTTTTTTGTTAGGTACAAAGAGGGTGGTGAGGCACTATTAATTCTGCTTCCTTCAGAAGAGCAAGAGATGGTACAGCAGCTTCTCCAGAAGAAAGTACCTGTGAAGGAAATCAAGTAAGAGCTACTGATGTTTATGTTCTTGTTACTCCTAACAATGGAGCATGAAATCATTTTGCTCATTGTTGCCACGGCTGTTTCCTACCTCCCCTATATTACATTTAGCTTTCTGGTTTATGATTTTGAAGGGGAAAAAAGATTTTAGTTTTTCTGTCTTTAGAACATTTAGGTTCATGGCAAAATTGAGAGATAGTGCAGAGAGTTCTTCTATCTTCCCTGCTTCCACATACATAGCCTCCTCCAATATTAATATCCCCCAACAAATTGGTGCCTTTGTTATAGTATATGAATCTCTATGATGTTTCAGATTCACTCATGTCCATTGTCTACTTAAGGGTTTCTCTTGATGTTATATGTTTATAGGTTTGTACAAATATGTAGTGACATGTGACAGGTGTCTCCTGTTATAGTATGATATTGTCAATGCCCTAAAAATTCACATATGTATTCCACATATTCTTCTTTTCTCCACTACCCCCTAGCAACCACTGATTTTTTTTTTTTTTTTTTTTACTCTCTGCACAGTGTATCCTTTGTATGTAGATTTCCCAGTTTGGCTTTTTTCACTTTTTTTTCCATGTCTTTTCATGTCTTAAATACTTATTTCTTTCAGTGCTGAGTAATATTCTAGATGTAACAGTTTATCCATTCACTTACTATAAGGCATCTTTTTTCTCCAGAACTGGGGTTTGAACACAAAGTCTTATGCTTGCTTTACAGACTTTCTACTGCTGAGCCATGCCTTTAGCCCTTTTTTGTACTGGTTATTTTTGAGATATGGTCTCACTCCTACCAGGCCCCATGCTTGGACTGGATTGTGATCCCCTATTTTATACTTTCTATTATATCTGGGATGATATATCTGGGATGACAGATGCATGCCATCATACCTAGCTTGACTTTTCTGTCCAGGCTGTCCTATGACCATGATCCTCCTAATTTCAGCATCCTCTGTAGATGTGGGTTGAGAAGGGTTCTTGCAAACTTTTTTGCAAGAGAGAAAAAGAAATTAGTAACACCTGCCATTTACAAAAAATGACATTAGATTTCTTTTTTTTTTTCCATTTCATTGTTTAATCTCCTATGGGAAGCTGCATTTAAACTTTATAAGGTTAAGAAGAAATCAATACTGATTGAGGTGTTAATCTGCGTGTCCTTTAGCATGAGGTATTCAGAGAAATTGTCAGAAATAGTCTTTCTTCTTGAATTACTCATAATATGCAGGAGTCAAATGTAAGGTATAGTGTGAGTTGGTTCCCTAAAGAATGTTAGACATTTAAAAATATACTGAAGGAAAGAGGAAAAAGCTATGTTCTATTTATAATTTTTAAGATCAAGACTTCTTAGTTTAACTTTTTGTTGTTGTTAAAAAAGAATCAATCCAGAAAAGCTTATAGATGTCCAGAAAAAATTGGAATCCTTTTTAGCTCAAGATCAAGATTTGAAAGAAAGAGCTCAAAGGGTAAGTTATCTTTAAATTGAATACTTTTCATTTTAGAATGTGATACATAATAAATTATCATTTTCTGCTTCTTTATTATATGCTTCAAATATTTAAGCAGTGTCATTTAAAAAATTATATCTTAGAAGCTTTGAGAATAATACTTACATTACAAAACATACTTGAATTTTATGATGTTGTGATATAATTAGTAATTAGAAGGTCATTCCATTATTAGTCACGAAATAAATGCCAGAAATACGTTGTTTCACTGGTTCATACATACAGCAAATGAGGCTTTCAGAGCAAAATAGCACATTGAAATAAATGATGTGATTTATTGAGTGTCACACATGGTTTGGCAGAATGGCTGTGTTGCCAGCAGCAACAAGATATCTAGTTTTACAGACATGATTTCCTAGCTTTTGATTATAATCTGGAGAGAACACAATGATAAGCAACTAGAGTGAGTTCTTGTGGATAGATGTAGGGGAAAAAAATACCTCTGACTTGGTACTATTCATTGTCATGCCTAAGAAGTCAGAGAAAATGGTTTAGAGATTACTCGGTAGAAAGGATTAATGCAATGCTAGAAGAAAAGGCAGAGTTTAAGGAAAAGGAAAGAAGGATTAAATACACTTTACAAAAATATTTTTAAAATGAAAATACTTGGTTAGATATATTTTGTTACCTGTTTATGTTATAAACCAACAAAAGATCAGGAATCTACTTACAGTTTGCAAAACTGAAATAAATATAATTTTGTTTTGTTTAAGCAAAAATGGGAGAAAAGAATTCCAAGTTGGTGATAAATGATTTGATATTATGATTAAAAATAGAAAAGCTATAGGAACCCTTTTTCTTTTTTCTGGTCACAATTTAGCTTCACCTGATATAGTTTTACTGAAAACACTATCAGAAGAAGTGGTAGCATTCTGTATGAGTTTTCTCATTGTCATAGCACTGTAAGTTCCAGGTATGAATACTACCTTTTTGATAGCTAAGGAAATAGCCAGTTAGAGAAATAAGAAACTTGTTCAGCTAATAAGATAACTCAGCATAGATCTTCCATATTCTTCTTCTTCTTCTTTTTTTTTTTTTGTCGGTGGTGGGGCCTGAACTCTGGGCCTGGGTGCTGTCCCTCAGCTCTTCAGCTCAAGGCTAGCGCTCTACCACTTGAGCTATAGTGCCACTTCTGGCTTTCTTTTGCTTATGTGGTGCTGAGGAATCAAACCCATGGCCTTATCCATGCAAAGCAAGCACTCTACCACTGAGTCACCTTCCCACCACTCTCCATATTATTCTTATGTCCCTATTTTCCTGTTGTACTTTATTGCAATTAAAATTTTAGAGTAGCTTTTGGAGAGATTATGTTCTGTGTTGAGCTGAATTAATGAAGACAAATGCAAACAAAATCTTTTCAAATATTACAGTTGTAAAAGGTAACTTTTCTTTTTGGGTATATGTACAGAACCAGAATATGCTGACCTATGTTATATTTTTTCCCCACTTACTATTGACATTATTCCTTTTGTAAATTTTTTTTTTTATCTGACTCAATTTTCCATCTCTGCTACCATTTATTTTACAGTGTTTTGTCTCCTACATACGTTCAGTATATCTTATGAAGGATAAAAAAGTATTTGATGTAAGCAAGTTACCTATTCCTGAATATGCATTGTAAGTATTCATAATATAGGTATAATAGTAAATCATCCAAGTCAGGGGAATTTGTTTTCAGCTTGTTTCTCTGAGAATTGTTGTTTACACTACTTTACCTTAACGAGTTACAGAAAAGAAGGTAAAATCAATTCTGTAGAAAATAACCTGGGCATTAGTTCTTTTCAGGAAAAGGTGGATTATTTGTATGTTCTGTATTTTCTTTATAACTTGATACTTGTTTTTCTTTCTGCTTTAAAAAGTTTTATTGAAAGCCGGGCACTGGTGGCTCACGCCTGTAATCCTAGCTACTCAGGAGGCTGAGATATGAGGATCGCAGTTCAAAGCCAGCCCAGGCAGGAGAAACCGTGAGACTCCTATCTCCAATAAACCACCAGAAAACTGGAAGTGGCGCTGTAGCTCAAGTGGTAGAGCGCTCGCCTTGAGCTGAAGAGCTGAGGGACAGGGACAGCGCCCAGGCCCAGAGTTCAAGCCCCACGACCGAAAAAAAAAAAAAAAAAAAGTTTTATTGAAGTACCAAGTAGATCCAGAATTTTATATAATTTATAAATTTATTCTCAAAAGTTAATTAGTTTTCACAAAGTGAATACATCTGTAAATAGCATGAACATGGAGAAACAGGAAATCAACAGTGTTGTAGCAGCTTCTTCATTTACCTTCCCAGTTATAATACTCTGTCTACTACTCACTCTTTGCAAAGTGCAGTTACTCTTCTGCTTTCTAATATCATGGATTACTTTTACTACCACACCGTGGCTCTGGTTTCTTGGTCATTATAGTAGTCTTAGAGTTGTTTTTTTTTGTTGTTGTTGTTGAGGTCTTTTACCATCTTGGTTAGGTTTATTTCTTGATATTTTATTATTATTTCTTTATTTTGGGGCCATTATGAACAGGATCATTTTCTTGATTTCATTCTCATTGTGTGCATTATTAATATGTAAAAAAGCTACTGAATTTTGTGTGCTGTTTTTATATCCTGATATTTTGCTGAAAGTGTTTATTTATCAGAGGTTTTTTTTTTTTTGGTAGCGTCTTTGGAGACTTTCAAATTTACTCATATTATGAGTAAATAGGAATAGTTGGCTACTTCCTTTTGTGTTTGTATTCCTTTTTGCTTCTTTTTCTTATATAATTGCTTTGGCTTAGAATTGAAGCATTGTTGGGCTTCAATTACAGGCTCATACCTGTAATCCTAGCTATTCAGGAGGCTGAGATCTGAGGATAATGGTTCAAAGCCAGCCCTGGCAGGAAAGACTGTGACACTCTTAACTCCAATTAACCACCAGAAAACCAGAACTGGGCCTGTGACTCAAAGTGATGGAGCATAGCCTTGAGCAAAAGAGCTTAAGGATAGTGCCCAGACCATGAATTCAGGCCCCATGACTGACCAAAAAAAAAAAAGAAAAAGGAATTGAAGCGCTATATTAAGACTAGAGAGAGGGCACACTCTTTCTTGTTATAGAAAATGTTTTCAGTTTTCCCTATTCAGTATGTTGGCTATAGATTAGTCACATTTAAAAAATATTTTCTAAAGTAAAATTGTGTTTTTTATAACAGTGATTGTATCGTTTATGTTTCAGAAGGAAAGGGTAGGGTAGAGATGATATTCTAGTTTACTTTTTGAAGAGAACAGTGTTTTGTCCCTCCATTTTTTTTGTGTGTGTGTGTAATTTTTAGTAACTTACATTTAACAAAGTAATTTCATGTAGTTAATTGAACCTTCATAGCAACTTGAGATAGTCCTGAAAGATGTTGTTACATGGTATGAAGAAGCTGAGACTGAGTGTTGAATTGGAAATTGGGTGTAGTATTTGAATAGTGATCATCTTGCTTATGTTTCGTTCTTCTTTATTTTTAGTTATTTATTTAGTTTTGTCGGTTGTGGGGCTTGAATTCTGGGCTTGGTCTCTTCAGCTCAAGGCGAGTGCTCTACCACTTGAGCTACAGCGCCACTTCCGGTTTTCTAGTGGTTTATTGGAGATAGGAGTGTCAGAGGCTTTCCTGCCCGGGCTGGCTTTGAACCTCGATCCTCAGATCTCAGCCTCCTGAGTAGCTAGGATTATAGGCGTGAGCCACTGGTGCCCAGCTCTTTTTTTTATTTTTATACAATATTCTCTAAAGGAAAATTTTGTTTTGGGCAAGTATTCTATACTTTTTGGCATGCCTTTTGAATCATCTAACCTGTTGGTATTGATGTGTATCTCAGGAATATTTTTTTTAAAAAAAGCTTTGGTAATCTCTATTCTTGAGAAATGATTCCATAATGTCATAGGCATAATAACATTACTGCAGTGAGATAATTCTTTTTTTTTTCCTTCTATTTTTTTTAAGATCTCTTGGTCTTGCTGTGGCACCTCGGGTAAGATTTCTTCAGAAAATGCAGAACAAGCCCACCAAAGAATCTGTAAGGAGCCAAGGCGATGATGTCATCGAGTCCAGAGCTCCTTCCCTCACCAATGATGAAGTGGAAGAATTTAGAGCCTATTTCAGTGAGAAAATGTCCATACTTCAGAAGGGTGCGAAGAATCTCAGAGAATCAGACTGCAGAGTGGCTAGTGATAGTAACAATGAAGAAGAGGAAGGGGAGGAGGAGGAGGAAGAGGAGGAAGAGGAAAAAGAGGAAGAGGAAGAAGAAGAGGAGGAGGATGACAAAATGAAAGAGAAATTAGGAAAAGCAAGAGGATCTCAGACTGAATCTGTTCCCAGTACTGATAAGGTAAAGAAGGTCAAGGAAGTTCCTGTGCAGTTCCTTAGCGGCGGAGATGAAGAGGAAGAAGATGGACCTGATGCTGATTTCCTTACAGTGAAGCGGCGTGATGTATTTGGGTTGGATCTTAAAGAGAATAAAGCATTACCGGTAAGGTTATTCTCAGTAGAAGGTCTTTTGTTATGCTTTTTTATTGTAAGCCAATTGTTGATTTTGAGGAACGAAAGAAAGGAAGCTATGAGAAATTTAAAAATGACTTTCTTTGCAATAGTTTTCCCTTTTCCCCTTTCTCTATACTTAAATGGCAAGGATTTTTTTTTATCTTTTTCAGAACTTTGGGAACTCTAAGGGATTGTCAACTACAATCTTATTTGTTGGTTTTGTGATGTGGGTTTTTTTTTTTTTTTTTGCCAGTTCTGGGGCTTGAACTCTGGGCCTGAGTGTTGTCCCTGAGCTCCTTTTGCTGAAGGCTAGCACTCTACCACTTGAGCCACAGTGCTACTTCAGCCATTTCTGTGATTAATTGGATATAGAATCTAATGGACTTTCCTGCCCTGGCTGATTTTGAATCACAACCCTCAGATCTCAGCCTCCTGAATAGCTAGGATTACAGGCATGAGCTACTGGTGCATGGCTTCCTGATGTGTTTTGAAAGTAATCAGAGACATGACTTTCAGAGTTTAGGAGTCATAATAGTGAGGTTCTTCGTTTAAAGTGTGAGAATCCTTTATTATGATTCTTAGCATACAAATTTGATTAATTTGTTGGAAAGAGTACTTGTAATTAAAGTCTTTCTAAACATAAAATTTACTTTTTTTTTGGCTGGTTTTCTAGTGGTTTTTATTGGAGATAAGAGTCTCATGGACTTTCCTGCCCGGGCTGGCTTTAAACCGTGATCCTCAAAACTCAGCCTCCTGAGTAGCTAGGATTACAGGCGTGAGCAACCAGCGCCCGGGCGTCTGACTCATTCTTTGTGCAATATTTTGAAAGATCCCAAGACTCTTAAATACTGCATTTTGAGCCATGAAACTTAGAAAAGTTAATACTAATAATTTATCAGATAATGATTTCTTACTCAGTCTCTGTGTATATTGCTTAAACATTTAGTCTGTGTATTTATGTATCTATGTATCTATCATCTGTCTGTCTGGACTGATCCTGGGCTTAAACTCTAGGCCTTGCTGTTGTCCTTGATCTTATTTGCTCAAGGCTAGTGTTCTACCACTTGAGCCACAGCTCCACTTCCAGTTTTTTGAGTAGTTAATTAGAGATAAGAGTCTCTCAGATTTTCCTCCTCAGGCATTTGTTGAAGTGTTTCATCTCTAATCCTGAAATAAACCTAAACAAATTAGCTCTTCTTCCTCAGTGCTATGAGATTTTAGTTTTGTTAACTATTTTTTTTGTTTTGTTTTAAATTAAAGCCCAGAATGTTTTGTCTTGGACAAAGCAAGTTTATCTTGTGTTGAATGGTTAACAAATCACCAGTGCCTCTGGGTGTCTGTCCTCACTCCTAGAAGGCCGCTGCTGTTTTTTTTTTCCTTTCCTTCTTTAAGCTTGCCTGCTGGCTGTTAGACTAGAGGCTACAGTCTTGATATACTGTTGGGCAGAGAATCTGCTGTATTTTGTTTGGCATAACAAATAACTAAAAACAGAATGCTATTTTGTTATAATTCTAATAAGCCAACCAGATGATGATTCTTATTGTGCATGAGTTAAGTTTTAGAAGTAAGTTTATTGGTTAAACTGGGGACTGTAAATGGCCCAGGAATATATGAAGACATTCCTAGAAGTTAGATATGCTTGGATGGAAATAATTTACTGCAACTCTGCTTAAAGCACATGACAAATGAAGCTTATATTTTCAGGGTTGATCAGTCTTGGTACGATTTTCCTTTCTGTTGGCTTATTCGTTCCTCATGGTTCACATTCAGTGAATTGATTTCTCAGTGGCACTCTCTGCAGTACCTTCCTGTAAATAATCACTCTTACCTGTTTGTTTCCTAAATTAAAATAGCATATTTCTTCCTATATCTTTGGGGGTGCTGAACAGAGTAGTTCTTTCACATGCATAGGTTTTTATACCTACTGGGTTTTATCATGGGAAACAGTAGAACAGAGGAATATTTTCTTTCTTGCTGATTTGGAGGGTGCACTTTCAGAATGTTTGTAAGAAGTGGTTGCATACTCCAAAAGCACTTTTTAAGAATTTGCTAAATTATGTTTTCTCTTGTGATTTGGATCAGCACTATTTTATTTTTTTTGTATCTTTTGATCTGAATTGCCTTCTTACTTGCTGACATTTTGATAAATAGGATTTTGCAAATCAAAGTAAGTAAATGCTCTTAGGTTGTTTAGCTCTACTTCACACCCATATCATCAGAGATATTTTTTCCCCCTTCTACAAAATATTAGAGAATAGGTATTTTATTGCCCAAAACGATGTTATAAGAATTTAGGAACTCACCTATCTGTTTTCCAATGGGTTCTATTGGCATTAGCTTAGCTATTAAGATTTACAGGTTTCCCCCATCTGTTTTTCCCCCCGTTCCTCACTAACAGGGACTGTTTTATGGCAGAAATTATAGCTGGATCTGGTTTTATTCCTTTACTGAAGAGAGATTATTTCTAGGTTTTTATGAAGAATCTGAGATTCTCCCCTACTTTCAGGTTGACAAGTTACCCTGCCATACTTTTATATTTGTTACTGGGTAACTCTTAGCATGCAGGCAGCATGAACTTCAGGTTTGCGTGGTTTTTCTGCCTCCAGGCTCCACAGGCTCATGCATGTTATGCTAGGGTTGGTTCTGATGTCCCAGTTGAGAAAATGTAATCTTAGAAAAGTCCCAGGTTTGTGTGTGTGTGTGTGTGTGTGTCAGGTAGTGGAGCTTGAACTCTGGACCTGGGCGCAGTCCCTCAGCTCAACTCAAGGCTGTCACTCTACCACTTGAGCAACAGTGCCACTTCTGGTTTTCTGGTAGTTAATTGGAGATAAGAGTCTCATGGAGTTTCCTGGTGCCTCCTTCCCCCCGCCCCCCAACCGTGATCCTCAGATCTCAGCCTACTGAGTAGCTAGGATTACAGGTGTGAGTCACCAGCACATGGGTAGAAAAGTCCCAGTTTTATGAGAGGCCTGATAGTAATCTTGCCAATCTTCAACTTTGGGTTCATACCCCTCCCTCCCAGCCACTATAGGCTCAGATTGAAGAAAATTTGCATAGAGTCATCTGGCATGGTGAGCTACACTCTTAACAGATTGAACCTTCTGCAGGTAAGACAAAATTTTGGAAAAAGTACTTTAGAATGAGCAAAACTTAGCCTTCCCAAGGAAAGACTGGCACAGTGTGGATTTTATATATTAGCAGCTTTGCCTCTAAGGATGTGCTACAGTCATAAGCTGAGGGGACAAACTCCATTAGGAAGTGTACATTCTTCTTGGTCTGAAGAAATAGGAGGTGGAGGTAGGGTGATAAGTCTACCCAAGGATGAGGGCGACTTCTGGAAGATAGGCAAAGAGAGCTCCATATCAATTCTAGCAACTGATAGAGAAACCAGACTTTAAAAATTAGTAGATATTTAAAAAGCATTAAGAAGCTGGACATCTCTATTAATCTTGACCTAGTTGGAAAATTAGAGCACTATATGCAACATTTGCAGAATGTTCCTTCTTTGGTCACATGGCATCTTCATAGTGCATTCATTTTATACTAGGTTAAAAGTTTCGAAACAGTTGAAAGCATTGAACTCACAAATGATATGTACTCTGCAACTGGATTAAAATAGAAATCAATAGGACATCTAGGAAGACATTACATATTGAGAAATCGAGGGTGTTAAGATCTGAAAATTATGCTCTTCTTAATTACCTATTTTTGACTTCTTAGCGCTTGAGTTGGCAAATGTACTCTTAATAGTGGGGGGTAATACAGAGGGTGGGCTGCATGTTGAAATGCATACCTAGAAACTTTGAGGGCTAGAATGGTGCTGAAAATAAAATATATACCCAATTGGTGAAATATTTTGTTAGAGTATTATTAAAATGATCTCATAGGTATTTAGGTATTGTTGATGGAAGTCTTTTCCTACTGTTGCCAAAGTTAACTTCACTGTACAAGTGGGTTGTTAACCAAGGAGACTGATTTATCAGGTTCAGTTTTACAGTCTTCTTGATACTTAAAGGTCACAGACTGATCCTCTTCGTTAATTTGAAAGAGAAACTGTACGTTTCCCATTGAACACTTCCTTTAATTGCTTGGCTTTCCTTCTTCACACTTCTTGGAGGTGTCAGAGCTAACTTTTTTCTGTAAATGTCAGTACATGTAGCATGTGTAAGACAAAGTCTGGAACATATTTAATGTGTAAAATTTTGTTGATGAAATTGAGTTATTTGTCATGGAAGACACCGTATCAAAAGTATTTTGCAGGCTAGGAAGGTGGCTCAGTGGTAGAGCGCTTGCCTTGCATGCCTGAGGTCCTGGGTTTGGTTCCTCAGCACCACATAAAGCAAAATGAAAAAAGCCGGAAGTGGCTCTGTGGCTCAAGTGGTAGAGTGCTAGCCTTGAGCTGAAGAGCTGAGGGACAGTGCCCAGGCCCAGAGTTCAGGCCCCACGACTGGACCCCCCCCCCAAAAAAAAAAGTATTTTGCTGGGTGCTGATGACTCATGCCTGTAATCATAGCTACTCAGGAGGCTAAGATCTGAGGATCACAATTTGAAGCCATTCTGGGTTGGAAAGTCCAAGAGACTCTTACCTCTGATAAAACACAAAAAAAAACCCACCAAAAAACCAAACCAAAAGGAAAAAAAAAGCTTGAAATGGAGATGTGGATCAAGATCAAGAGGTAGAGTGCTACCCTTGAACATAAAAGCCCAGGGACAGTGCCTAGGTCCTGAGTTCAAGGCCCCCCCCCAAAAAAGAAAAAATTGGCTCAACTATGTTTTTTTGTTTTTTGGGTCCGGTCGTGGGGCCTGAACTCTGGGCCTGGGCGCTGTCCCTCACCTCTTCAGCTCAAGGCTAGCGCTCTACCACTTGAGCCACAGCGCCACTTCCGGCTTCTTTCTTTTTGCTTATGTGGTGCTGAGGAATCGAACCCAGGGTCTCAGGCATGCAAGGCAAGCGCTCTACCACTGAGCCACCTTCCCAGCCCCTCAACT